AAATTCCTAAAATGAGCTCCAAAAAACCCTAAATTCCTAAAATCGAGCTCCAATTTTTTTTTGTTGTTGTTAAAAAAACGTTCTTTTATTTATTGCAATAAATAATACTAGTCAAATATTGTCTGAAAATTCATAAAAAAGCTGCAAAATTAAGACAAAAATTAAAAAAAATTGGGTTCGGGCTTACCTTGTCTGCTTCAATCTCAAAATCGAGTCCCAAATCTCTCCATTTCAATGAAATCAGGAGTCTTGAAATATATGTACCTCTGTGATCATTAAAATCCCTAACTTTTTATCAAAAAAATTGAAAAACCAGGCCAAAGCAAAAAATCATGGAGTTTTTTATTCAATATTGATGGATTTATAGAAGATTTGAAGGTATAGTGCAATAATTGAGCAACAAAAAGCAAAAAATTGGCAAAAAAAAACATAAAAAAGTAGCAAAAAATGGCGGATCACGGGTTTTGCTCAAATAACGGGCACTATTACAAATAACAACCATTATTTTCTGTGACACCGTTATTTTGTTATATTGCCCGATATAACGCCAACCGGACCGGTTTTTACAAAACAGGCAAGTTTCGTCGAAAAGTCACCTTTTCGAGGCCAAACCGGCCGGTTTTTAGCCAATTTTTTTCAGGACGATGTGTTTTTTTATTAGTACACTAAAATCAGACCTAACTGGAATCGCCACCCCACAGGTAGCGAGCTAACCGGCCAGTTTCGATTCCGACCGGCCGGTTTTTTTGACATTGATCGGCAGTCGAGATGAATTTTCCTCAAGGGTATGTGAAATTCATCAAAGGAACGGTTTGCCTCTCCTGAATGCGACACATACTGATTATGGTGCTACGTGCAACACATACTGATTATGGTGCTACGTGCATCATGTTGTAATATCCTTTTAGAAATTTTCACGCTTTTCACATGTAACATATTACCTATGTGAATCTTAAAATGCATATAAACTGAAAGCAATACATTTTTTACACAATCCCTTGACACATCCTCAGCCTTCGGATTTCAGTAAGGACAGCTGAGGTGTGGGGGATGGGATATGGTAGATGTCACTGCCTTAAAATGCTCTTCCATCTTAAAATCTGATGCGCATCTTCTATTTCGACTGCAGTTAAGTCAATCAGATTTACAGTGTTTAAAGACCTGCTTTTCCTTTTTTTTGCTTTTTTTTATTTCTTATTTTTTGTGAAGAATGAAATGTAAGTGTCTGATGGTGTGTTGGGGTCCTAAATCCATGGAAAGTATCGAGTTCGAGACGCTGCTACACTGGTTTATGGTGCAACCGCAGCTGCCACATGATGATACTCCATATTAAGTGTTTTGCAATTGTTTAGGCAAAATGTGACAATTGTTTATCTAACTTCAACACCTTTTGTCACAAACTAGAAAACTCAGGGATGACAAAACATGGCTCAGAAACTGGCAATTTATTGCAGGATTCAGAAAATATTTGGTAAAAAATTAGATCTAAATCTTGAAATAAATGCAATACGGTAAATAGTATAACAATTTTCAATACGGATCTTACCAGTCCTCTCTCTCTTTCTCCATCTCTCTCAACATACAAAAAATAGTTCAACAATTTTCAATACGCATCTTACCAGCCCCTCTCTCTCTCTCTCTCTCTCTCTCTCTCTCTCTCTCTCGCTAACACACCCACTCACCCACCCACCCAGCGCAAAGTGATTTCCAGTGACTTTGATCTGACCCAACAGATGCATTCTCTGATAAAATGTCTATCTTCCAATATTCAGTTGCTTGCACCAGAAGCTGAGCTGATCTGCAACACAATCTGGGCCTGTGGACCCATATGAGCAAAACTTCTTGACTGAGTTTTCAAAGCCTAAAAATTCATAGACACTTTCATCAAAAACAGGGCTTATGCTGGTCAGCTGGTCCAGGGGCAGCTCTGAGAGCTGGCAATTCTTGGAAACACACATTGCCACCGCCCTTCCAACTATATCATGAGAGGTTCTGAAAGGGATGCCCTGCAAAATGACTTTGAAGAATAAGTACGAAGAGTACTAGGGCAAGAACTTCATTTAAAATAAGAGACACCAAGATACCAAGCAATTATATGCCGCCACTTCATCTCTCTCTCTCTCTCTCTCTCAACCAAGCAATTACATGCCCCACTTCAATCTCTCTCTCTCTCTCTCTCTGTCACACACACACACACATCCACTCAAGCATTTCACTCTTGAAATTTAATGCCCACACTAATATCTCTCTCTCTCTGTAACATATAAAATCTACCAAAGATCAAAAACAACTTCTTTGTTCCAAGTGGGGTTTTGCAGCATGTGCACTTCTTCGCCAATGTCCAAGTGCTTGTTCATGATATATCCAAAATGTTTGCAGTCTCTCAATAATTTTCACTGCTCAAAGATGCAAATCTCTCTCTCTCTCTCTCTGAACACGTGTACCAGTATGAAAATCTGGCAAGTAATGACCTTCTTCACAAGGTAATCTGCAAGAGTAGTAGCATCCAAGTGCCCAGCAGGCAGTGATCTCTGTATCCTCTCACGATTGAACGTAACATTCTCTGCAAACTCGGCCGAGACTTCAAGCATTCCAATGATTGTCTCAACACTGTCAAATAGAGGCTCTTTGTCCTCCTGTTGCAATAAACTCAATTACTACATCAAACCACCTCAAAAAAAAAACACACACACCCCATTATCAATAAAAAATGCCCAGAAATCATCAACATCATACACCACCGGGGTATGGTGTATTGTACACAACCACAGCGTACACCGCCAGTTCCAATGATGGACGGTGGGGATTAACTATCGCTACCAGTAATGGGCATTAACCCAAATACATTAAATCTCCACTGTCTGTAATAAGGAACAAATGGTTGATGTCCCGTTGATGTGCCGGTCATTGGTCACATACTGAACACCTTAACATACATCAGTGGTGTATGATATATGTTCCCTGCACTAACTTTTTCAAGAACAAAGTAAAACCAATTCACACAAATCTGAATTATTCCAAGGAGAAACAAATTACATTGATCGGCAAAAATAATAACCATTTAAGAAATTCAACCTGCAAATCACGATTGTAAGCCTGTGGAAGACCCTTGCAGAGCACCAAGAGAGTGGTGAGGTCTCCGATAACCCTAGCTGATTTCCCGCGAACAAGTTCCATGGGATCAGGGTTCTTCTTCTGAGGCATAATGCTGCTTCCAGTTGAGACTGAATCACTGGGAGTCAGAAATCCAAACTCCTCAGAAGCCCATAAAACCCATTCTTCACCAAGGCGGGATAGGTGTATCGCTGTGATTGAATTGGATGAAAGAAGCTCTAATAGAAAATCACGATCTGAAACCGCATCAATGCTGCAAGATATAAAAGTTGTTTTCTTTATTTTGATAGTCAACTAGAGATACAAAAGTTGTTCACAACATGACGAACACTGAGATTTTCACATTCAGGTCACTATGTTATATACTGAGGATGTAAAAAAATCTCCAAATCAAATGAGTTTAAGAATGTCCTCATTGATGTTGAAGGTTTCAATGCACAAAAGGTTAGGGGACAAAGATGGCATATGAAATGGCATGAAACCTGAAGTTGAGCTAGGGGTCTAGAAGTGTGGGAAATAGGCAAAGTCCCCCATAAAGGAAGCCTCTAAAATGCCCAACAAAGGAATCAGTACCAAGACTCAAAAACTTTTGGTTTCTTCCATTTATATCTACACTTCTATTTTCTCACAATCAATCAGAGTTGTGCAGTCAGTTGCATCATTTTTTAAAAGTCCTACTGCAATGCCCCTAACTACCAGGTGGTCCGTATGGAGCTTCAGTGAGCTAGCCTCAAAAAATGAACCAAAGACAAGACGCCAGTGCAAGATATCCCTTCAATTTCGAACTTGGATCTCATTCCAAACCTCAACCTAATCACCATGTTAATCTTGACTTCCGGATGCTATCCCATCACACTATAGGTACCCTAGAATCCCTGCCCAAGAAAGAATCTGACTCCAACACAATCCCCCTACAACCAGATTTCATGAACCATGATAAAGAATAGACATGCCAAACCTAAATCTCCAATGCCACTTACCAAACAAAGCCTTAATAGCCACCTTTACGCTCTTTCTCCCAAAACCTTATCCTTTAGCTTATAAATGTGCTGCCATCTAAAACAAATGGGCACCGCATGCCTCATTTTTACCTTGCTAAATAAAGTCTCTCCTAATGTTCCAAACCAACTCAGATTGGTACTTAAGCTGGTCTTGAGCCAAGTTGACTTGATAAGAATCAATAGATTCTCTTGTAACTCAACCAAGCCTCACAAAATGTTGGGCTTTTGTGGCCTTTAAAGGCCTATAGAGCTTGAAAAAATGATAATTTATAGTGAGATATGCACTTCAGTGGGAGTGTGTGTGTTAACTGACCATGACTCGAGCGATTTATGACCTACTTATGTTCAAAACCCTAACCCTGAACAGGTAGCACTACCAAGAAGGGTTTACAGTCGGTCATCTGTTGAGGTCGGAGAGATGCTCGGTGATGATATTTGTAGGCTAGAAGAACTGTGTGGTCTCATGTGTGCAGTTGTAGGCCTGTGACGCAAGGGCAAAAGCCTCAACAACCTTCCGCACAACATGTACATATGAGAACTACCACTGCATTACTGGGAAACAGCTCTATAGAGGGACAAGCCCTATAGAGGGACGTGTGTACATATGCATAGAGACAACCGCCTTTGCACTGTGGTGACAAATGTTGTACTTGCTGTTAAAAGGGGAAGGGGGGGGGGGGCGGGGGGGAGAGAGGATTGAAATCTTCATTCCATGATCATAGTCTCACTGCTTATTATCTAACTTTGACAAGTCAATCATGAACCCTTTCATCGAGACTATGAGTCATGAATCTTTGTTGGGTTGGAAAAGAAAACAATAGCGAATCATGGTTCTTGGGTCAAATGAAGTGCCCTTATTGTTACTAATTCTAACCTATTGGTACCAGTTCACTTTAAAAAGGCATTTTTGTAATTTGGAAGGGCGCATGTGGGGCCCAAGATCCAACCCCACATGTGTGCCACCCATGAGTGGGATGTGGGCTATTGTGGGGACCACTTAATCTCTCTTGGGTTGCACACCCTCTTTCTTTTATTTATTTGACGTTTTTGTATTTATTAAAGGTTATTTTAGGGGAATCTTTTAACTATTAAAAGATTGTTTTAATATTGTTTTTTATAACGTTAACCTTTAATTTAAAAGAAGAGGAGTACAAAAGCCTTGGCATACCACAAAAAAAGGAGCTCAAGGGCCAAAGACAGGAGAGAAAAGTGGGATCGAGACCTCTTTTAAGAAGATAATGTAAAGAGGCACAACAACCAAAAAAAAGAAGCCGAACCATAATACAAAAATAGAAAAGCAAAAGGCAAAAAACCAAAAAGGAAAGATCTTCTAGTTTCCAGCCATGTCCGCCGCTTCGTTTGCTAGGGTATCAGCTTCTTGGTTTCCTTCCCTCCAAGTATGCATCCACACGATGAACGTATTCCTGCAGAGGTAATGAATCTAGTGAAAGATTGTTTTAATTAGGAGTTTGATTTGACAAAAACTCTAATTATTTTAACTTCCTACAGAATTTGGAAAGATATTAGGAAGTTTTGAATTGGTTATATTATAACTTAAATAAAAGTTGGACTTGTATCAAATTATAAAGGGATAAGGTTCCTAAGACTCCTCTCAAAATCATGATGACTGATTTATAGGATGGATGACTTTTTATTTGTTCTATCTCACCCCATAGATTCCTAAGTTCCTACTAGTCAAGTTGTGTCATTGGATAGGTAATACCTAAGGAAAGAATTCTAATCCAAATAGGAGAATAAATTCTTTCTATTTAAACACAATTGAGCCCCTCACTCTCGAGAGGGTCTCTCTCCTCCATGCACCAAGTCTCCCTCTCTTTCATTAAAAATTCGATTCTCTCCCCCCCTTTCCAAAAAGGTCATGAAAAGGTCATGCCACCAAAAATTTGATAAGACAAGGGAGGCAGATTGAAACCCTAATAGGGTTTTGCTGTTTGAAGAAGAAAAAGGGGTATGCCTTCAAGCCCAGCCATAATTTGTTCCTAAGGGTTCCTACAAACCCTGGATAGGTTTTGATGCTATCTAAAACATTAGAGTAAGAGATATTGCCTATGAAAGCTTCCCATAACTAAAATTCCAACACGGTCAAAAGGGACAAAAGTGTGTCATCGGTCAGGGAATAGGGTGTGTGGTGGATCAAGAACTATGAGGGTAACGCCAAGCACCTTTTAGTAAGTCTTCCTACTAGATTTAATTATTTTTCAGTCTTATTTCATATTTTTTTGTGAATTTCCAGGAACATATATTGTACTCAAAACTATAGTGGAAGATTTCTTATTGCTCCTAGATGGTTTTTATTTGCTCCAAGATCATTTCCTTTAAAGATCTTTTAAGTAATTGGTGATGCAATCTTACATTTAACTTGGTATTTTATCTTCTTCAATAAACCAATAGCTCAAACACTTATGCTCGGGTCCTTGGATATGCAAACTTATGGGTCGTTCAGGTCCTTGGATATGCAAAAACGGCTTTTAAATATCTAGGATATGAGATGCTTAGGCTGTTTCGATTCATCTTGAGGCTCCAAATCCTGGTTTTACATAACCCCAAAAGGACCCAAAATGACAATACGGGTATTCTAGCTAGAGACATGGAATATGCAAAAGCTGGCTTTCAAAAAAATGCGTTTTTGTCAAGGGAAGCCTGTCGCCAGTTGCCATAATCCCTCCTTTTTTATTCACATCTTCTCTCTCTCTCTGTCAAGAAAACTCTCCGCCATTACCAGCCGCGTTCGCCTCTCCATGGCAAGCATCAAGCGAAGCTAAAAGGAAAAAAATTAATTATTTGTAGCGCCCTCAACATTTTCAACGCCATTGTTTGGGGGTTTTCTTCAATGTACAAGCCTCAATACATTCTGCACTTGATTATTTGTGAATATCACGCATGTGAATGGACGAGAGTAAATACGTAAATCGTTTTTTTTCTTTCTTACGTAAATCATTTTTTTTCTTTCTGACCTATGCATCACCAGGTCTTAGAATCACCCACTGCTAGATTGTTAGTTTTAATTTTGTTATTTGGTGGTTCTATGAGATTTATAGCTGTTTTTTTGGAGATATTTGGGTGCTAAACAGCCATTAACAAACAGTTTGTGGGTTCTTCAATCAAAATACTCTATCTATACATGAAGAGATTCTTTCACTCTAATTAAATCCTGGTTGGAGAAAAAGAACCTACAAAACTTATGTTTTTCTGTTGGGCCCGATCTCTGTAATGTTTATTTATCGCTGTTACAATATTGGGGACTGAGTCTTGGACAATTTGCACTGTTTATTTGGAGACTTTGAAGATTTCTTTACTGTTTGCTTTTTCTTCTTTTAGTATGTTCTCTGCTGAGTTTTGTGTTTTTCATTTGAGAAATTGGTGGAGTTGAGATCTTCTTTTTTGATGTGATGTAGAATTTCCAGTACACTTTTGTGTTGTTTTTGTTTTGTTATGGCTCATATTTGCTTGAAATGGAATGCTATTATTTCAGGTATTAGTGATTTCCTTACCTTATCTCTTTCTACTTGATTCACTCTTTTGGGATTGATTTAGTGGCAATGTGAAATAATTGGTAATTGCTCTATTTCTTTGCTGGTAATCTCCTGAAATTTGTTTTCTATCCAGTAATTTTGCTTACCTTCCTTTGGATGGCGTTTTGTACTTTTGAGAAGTGGGTTGTCCATACATACTTTCTTGGCTTTCTTTTTGAATGTCTGGGCACCCATACTATAGGCTGCCTTCTACCATTTCTTGGTTTCCAGTAATTAATCTTATTATTAATACAGTTAACCTTTCTCTCCAAAAAAAAGAAAAAAAGAACACCTGAAAGTTTGGCAATGATGTGTACTATTGGACCTCATGTCGACTTTACATTTAATTTCCTCTCTCACTAGAATCATGCTTTTTATGGTTACGAACTTAAATTTGTGAATGTTATTCTATGGTTCGTTGTCTTAATAATCGTCAGCAATGTGTACAGAGAGAGAAAGAAGGAGAGAGAGTATCAAATTCCGGCCTTAACAAATCTAAAAACTAAGATCTGAACCTTCTAATATGTTTATTGTAGATGTCTTATTTCCAAGAAATCATTTTTTTCGGCCATATACTACCATGGAATCATCAACTTATGATATGAACGGCTAAACTGGATCAAAGGCAAACTGCCAAAACCTGGTTTTCAACTTAGTAGAGCCAAACAGGGGATTTGTTATATATTGGCTTCTTCCGAACGTGACCCAAACAACATCGTTGGTAAAACTACATTTTCCATATCCAGGATTTGCATAACCAGGTTTTGAGGCATATCCAGGATTCGCATATCCAGGGACCCAAACGACCCATTAATGTGCAACTTGTGGTGGAACTTTAAGATGCCCAACATTATTTGCTTTTTCTTTCGAACTCCTGATGAAGCATTAAAACATCGAGACATTGATTCCAAGATCATGGGGCGCTCCTCATGTCGCGGTTCTTGCCTCAAAATTTGCTCAATAGGCATGGGATCAGCGCTTGGTGTATGTTGCGAATCTCGATTCATCCTTGGTTGAGATTTGCTTGCGGATATATGAGATTGCTAGTACCTTCTTCTCAGTGATAGATATTTTATAATCGTTGCAGTCACTGATTCACTTTGTCGATCTCTTCGAAGTTCACGAGCTTCGGATATCTTCCATGGTTTTGTTTATACATTTTATAATTTGTGGCAATAGATCATCGATTGTAGGAGTAGGTTTTGGTGGCATTGTGATTGATGGATCTTGTAGGTTCTAATACCAATTGGTGCAGATAGAAGAGCGAATAAGAATGAATAAGCTAAAAAAAATAGTAAGAGATTGCACAAAAAAACTTTTTGAATACCCGATACACACACCGGACTGCCGCAAATGAGGGACATTCCATTGGATTAGGCAGATAGAAAGAGAGACTGACGGCCGCAAGCAAGGGATAGCCCTCTCTTTCCTGATAAGTCCCAAGCAAGGACTGATTAACTGGAAAGGGAAGGAAGGGTGAGATCGGTTGGACAGGAGAGCAATGCATCCTGTACAAGCGGTATTCAACCAATATCCTTCCTATTCCGGATGCGAGATGCGATTGCGGTAATCGGTCAAGTTAACGAAGGCTTTGAAGGAAAGACAGGAAAGCAATATAGAAGGAACGAATAGGAAAGCTGAAGACATGAAGAGGAAAGCCGAAGATCTGCAGGGGAGTACACCCCAAAGATACCTCTTCACAAGACTTAAAATAAATTCTCATTCTATTCACTCTATTTTTTCTAATCCAAGAGTTACATATCTATAAAAGAAAGCAATCCTAAAACCTACATGTTTCCTATGAAACCCTAACTAAATCCCAACTCCACAGCTTTTAAAAAAATAAAGTTCCAATTTTACCCCTCAATTCTCTAGAGCTAAAAATGACACAAACACTAAAGAAGATTAAAAACCCAATATAACCCCAAACCTAAATTTTAATCTCCTTAAAATAACAAATTAAAAAATGAAAAACCTATTGCATCACAACATTACAAAACATAGTTCACAGACCAAAAAAAAACCCAATTCGACAAGCTCCTAGATTGGGTTGACTCATTTTTTTTAGGAAAGTTGACTATAATTGTATTAATATTTAATAAAATGTACAAACGAAAGGGGCCCCTGAAAGAGCACCCTTTACAGCCCCAAAGGGTTCAAAAAATAGATTGGGTTGACTCATTGCCCCAACTAGGACATAGAAAACATAATAAACTTCTAAAACATTATAAAAAACTAAAATGTCACATGTGTGCATCAATAAAATTAGATTACAGATTCTATATTTCTCCTCTCTACTCTCAAATAAAATTTCTAAGGACAACTAGGGCTGCAATTCTTGCACCAACAGTAGGTTTTTCAGAAACAGTAGGTTTTTCATAAAGATCAGAAATCCTTTATCCATTGTTTATTTGGGTTAAGGGAATTTTGAGATGGATTGAAGTTGGTTGACCCCCTTACAGACCTCATATGGCCACTTGTCTTTTGTTGTCCTTTCTAAAATATGTACATAGAAACTCGATGGAGTCCCATACAGATTTGACAGGCCTGATCTTTTTTTCTTTTTTCCTTTTTTTGGGGGGGAGGGGGTTTCGGTTCATCAAAGAAACAATTTTCAGTAGAGTAGATAGTAAGGGTACCACTGCTCTGTTCCATCCAGAAAGAGTTCCTGGTTGCGGTTTACCGATTTGTTTGTCAGGCTTGTGTACTAAACTGAAGCAGCAGTGTAGAATGGCATGTGGAGTCTTTCTCCATGCCTGTGCGCTATTGCTCATTCAGTTTATGGAATAGCGAAGGGAGCTTGGTAAACTGAACGAGCAGCGCATGCAGTAGTGGATAACTATGAATTGCACCAACAAGTTCACTAGTTGGTGATCAAAAGAAATAGCTTTTCTATGACAGGCTTGATTGAGCTTGTTGACTCTCTGTTCATGTTTTCATTGGGTCGAGTCTCCAAATGAAATTGACCTGAGTTTTATCCAAGTCGAATTTATCCCCAACCAAGCCATCGAGAGACTTGAGAGGCTCAACCAAGCATGTAAAGCCTTTGTTCAAGAGATGAATGACGAAGACTCAATTGAGACCAATCCTAGTTTGCTCCAAGTTGGTTAGCCCCCATTCAAAGTCCTCACAGACCAAATTGGATGAAACCTGTTTTGTAAAGCTATCCAGCAAAAGTTATGATTGCTGAGCACAATGAAAGAGGATGAGAGAAAGCATGGTCGGCAAGATTAACCACCATGGCAAAGGATCAGAGACAAATCAGCTTATTGGCATTTCAAATATACAACTGAAGAAGCATCAATTTATGACATCCAAGAAAGTGTCAACTTATACAACTAGATATTAACTGCCAAAAAAAAAGCCTGTCCATAAAAAATAAAATGAAAGCAAAATGAGTAGACATTATTTACAACAAAGGAATTCTAGGAAAAATAGTATACTTTAAAAATAGGATTGGGACTTATAGTGGCAAGGTTATTTACAAATGAGCTGCTTTTACAATCTAATGTGGGAGTATCATCGATGCCTAGGGAAGTTAGGAATGCAATAGTGTACCTGTTCCTTAGAGGCGCACGAAATCCAAGAGCATCTGATGTCATGAACCGGTTAATGGGAAGCCCAGTACCAGCCAATGCACAAGCTCCCAAAGGGGAAAAGTTTAAACGATCTTTGCAGTCAACCAGTCGACCAGAATCACGTTCCAGCTACAGATACATGATAAAACAGTCAACATATATGTGTGACATTCACTGAAACAATAATTCTGGGTGCAGGAGCATTATGTGTGGAAGCGAGAAAAGAGAAAGCTCTTTAACATTCAAGCTGAAGCAAATAGATCAAGCAGAGTGATATGCTGGTTTGGAGCTTTTCGACTCAAACCAGTAGAGTGGTGTGTTGATTTGATTCTGTCTCAAACCAGCAGAGTGAAATGCTGGTTTGAAGCTTCTCCCCCACACACAGAGTGATATGCTGGTTTGAAGCTTTTCATCTCGAACCAGTAGAGTGGTATGCTGCTTTGATTTCGTCTCAAACCAGCACACACACACATGCACGCACACACACAAACACAATAAAAGAAAAAAGAAAAACCACATAGAAAGAGAGAGGAGAAGAAGAAAACTTCAATACATGGCACTTCAATACACACACACGCACACACAAACACAAACACTCACTCTAAAAGAAAAAGAAAAACCAAGTAGAAAGAGAGAGGAGAAGAAGAAAACTTCAACACATGGCACTTCAATAACTGCCGAACATCTAACCTGTTCAACATATGACAAGAGGAGATGCTGCAAAAGAACAGGTTGTGCCCTTTGCAAATGCGTATATCCAGGGACTATCAAGCCTTCATTCTTAATTGCTAACTTTATAAGAGCCACCTGCAGAACATACAATAACCACATAAATCTTACATAAATCAAGATCGTAAAGAAACATGTCCTACAAGCAGCAATTATTCAAATTCTTATGAGTTTAGAGATAAGGTTGACAATCTCAAAATGCAGTTGCCCCAAGCCTTAGTCTTCATGGTACATGCCAAGATCTAAACAACCAAAAAATCAAAAACAGCAATAGAAGGGTGATGCAAGCATTCATCAAAAAGAAAATGGCAATGCAAGTATCCACCTACTTGAATTGTTAAAGATCTCCAATTACTATAATATGAAACTTTATGACATTCACAAAAGTATAATATCAATCTTCTCAAAAATTCCATTAGAAACCTTAAGAAACACAGCACGTCTCTCTTGGAAAAATAAGAACACAAATGCTGCAAATTAAGGATTAACCAGGGGTTGGTAGAACATGAGTTTGCAAGGAGAATGCCAAAGGGTCAGCATCCTCCCTTCCAATCTTGAGTTTTTTAGTTGGATACTTTACTCGAGAATTCACAGAAATTCTCCACGGAACCTAGACATTTAGGTAGCCTATCTCATAAGTAGAACTTCAATGTAAGAGAATGTGCAATTTCACAGAAATTCTCCATGGAACCGAGACACGTAGGTAGCCTATCTCATTTGTAGAACTTCAATGTAAGAGAATTGCCTATAGCACAATTATCTATGGCATTCTGAGTCCCCCCAGAAAAAGACATTGCAACTTCAAAGTTGAAACTCAATAATCAATTTGTGTTATTTTAATAGTCTGTAATTTCAACCACAAATAATGCATATACGCCAAATCTCCGTCGATTCAGTAGGAACCAGCGAAATTCAGGCCATGCATTTATACTGTTCAAATAGCACAGAGGAAGAGGCTCATTCAAAGTGCTTCCAGATTCAATTCAAAGTTTGCTAAAACACTTGAGGCCCCAATGGGGAGCTTCAGATCTTTGTAAACCAACTTCAGATATATGAAATCATAAAAAATGTAACACTATTTTGTTCTAGAAAAATATTATCATGCACAATGCAAGCAATAGCAACTTATTACTCACAAATCTCTCTATGATAGAAACAATAATTCACACATCATTTACCCATTCACTTTCATATTCATAACTAGAAGAAAACCAAAAATGTCCCACTCAATCGTTTTGAACATCCAAATAGATTTGAATTTCAAATGCCAAACTTGAATTTAGAAAGTCACAATGCTAAAACAGCATATAGGTATCATTATTTGTGTCTACATAATAAAGGTAAAACTTAGCTTCTCTTTTCTTATTTGAAGTGTTTAAAACTTAGCTTTTCTTATTTTTATCTTCCGATAATAATGCAAATTCGAACTCTCTCTTAATCTTTCATCCTAAGGACATCGGATCCAAGACGACCATAGAAGTTCCTAACTAGGGATAATCCTTTTGACTCGCCCGTTGAAACAATAGATCTGATAGAGTCATAATGTCTATAGATAATTACTTGAAGTTTAAGAATAAAAAAAAGCATCACTTGATGTAACACCTAGGGTTCCATATCTTTGGACAACAAATCTGCTGGCCCCATCCCAAGAAAAACCCAACCCCACACATAAACATTACAAATAAATGAGGACCCAAGGCAAAATTTTACATTTGAGGCAGTTTTGTCCTAAGATTTCCATCCAAAATCCCAATATAGACGTAGTAAAGTCACTAAAAATGTTGGTAAAGGTAGGTTTTCTAACATTTTAAGGTTTCGTTATGGATGATTCAAAACCTAGAGAATGTAAACTCTGCAAAGGTTTTTTGCCCCATATAGCACTCATATAGTGAATAGACCTAAGATGTAAGCTTTTCTACTCACTAGGCAACAACAGTGACTAGAGTTGCCAAGCAGCCAAACGGTTTGGGAAAATATTAAATACTCGTTTAAAAAACATAAAAAAAGCACATGATGCAGGAAACTATAAATACTCAACCACAACACCGAAAAATTCAAAACACATAGAGATGTGATCTGAAATCAACGCAAGGTCAATGGAAAGCCCATGGGGAATGCATCCTTAAAATCAAGGTTAATGCCATTAGTTAAGAAAAATGTGGGGGACATTTGGTAAAACCAACTGAAACATGGTATGACATAATTGCAGAGGAAAAAGGAATATGTATAACTTTAGTAATATATTATCACCTTTATGCAAAAATAAAATAAAATTAACTGCATAGAAAAGAAAAGAAAAAAAGGAGATAGAGGAAACCAGCTTCCCACTTGTTTCCATCTGGTTGTAAAATGTGCCCATGAGGAAATAGTTTCATTGCCTTGAAATAAGTTTTCCATAGACAATTGAACTCAATGAATGATACATATAGAAAAAGCTAACCCTTGTTCTTGGAAACTATGTGAATGAGATCCTAGAGATCTCTACCACTCTATATCTCTTTTGTCAAAAAGAGAAGTTGGATCTAGCACTCTTATCTCTTCTGGAATGTTCATAGGGGAGCCAATGAGATCAGGAAGGACATCACAGCATGAGTAGTTCTGAATCAGGAGGTCCTCACCATCATTGAAGCATTTCCAAATGCAGCGATGCTTCTATATCATTTATCTATGGGTATGAATGATAAGCATCGAAAGAAATGAGGGAAAGTTTATGTTCATCCAATGCAGTATGGCCAATCAACAGCCTAAAGGGGAATTACAATTCATTGAAGTGAATAGGGGTAATGAATAGGGAAGGGGACCCACCATTGAGATTATGTTTTGCTCACATGGTCCCACTATCTCCCAATCGACATCCATAAACCCGTCAACAGTGAGGAACCTGTGGGCTCATCTTTCCACACTCCTAAGTTTAACATACACTCCCCCAATAAACAATAGTAAAAAAACAAATTCAAGCAAAATGATGCAGCAAGATGTTTGGGGGCTCAGAAAAAGTAGAGGGGTAAAGCTTGCAACCTCAGTAGACGAGTACAAGTAAAAGAATAGAAATGCAATTAAAAACAGAGTAGTAACATGAGATTCCACACATCAGAAAGAGAGGAGCCAATAAAAAAGAACGAGAAACAAAGTCATTACAAGGGCGTAAGATAAAACTTGATTACCTGAAGTTGCCTTATACATGAAACAATTCTATCAATAGCATCCCGACACCAAAGTCGAACATCTGTTACAACTTGATCATTGCGACTTCTTGCAGTGTGAAGTTTCTTCGCAGGCTCACCAATCAAATCAGTGAGAGCAGCTTCAATGTTCATGTGAACATCCTCTCTATCTGCTCTCCAAACAAACTCCCCTCCTTCAATTTGTCGTTCAATTTCATCAAGACCATGAAGTATGCTATCCTTATCACTGGCACTCATCAAACCCTATAAAAATAAAGGAATGTAAATTAAAAACTTAAATTAAATATTAATTGATAAATTGGAGGGTCAATTCCTAATCCTACTCATCAATACATACATGCACACCACCAAAGCTGTCTAATTTATAATTGACTTTGTCACCAAGGTGGATAATCATGTATACAATTCGTATTTGTGTAAAATAATCCCCCATTTAACAAAATTATGCCTTATAAAATACAAATGAGCTGATAAAGTAACAATCAGATATACACACTCCAATATAACTTCTGCAGCATGGATTTAAATAACCACCCAGAGTTCACAGATGAAGATGAAGCCCGCGAATTGGGGTAAAAGGAGGAACAAATGGATGAGTAGATTAACAGAATATACGAGAAAGTGAGAGAACCAGGGAAAGGACTAACAAAATGGCAGAATATATAAATAAAAACACAATAGAGACAGAGAGAGCGAGGAGAGAGGGAAAGAGAAAAGTGCGCGAAGAGTGTAAAGCGAGAGAAAGAGAGAGCGGTCCACCTGTTCAGCAAGCATGGAGGCATGAGCCCTGCTTCCATTGATGTCCTGCCTATAAAGCTTCTTGTCAAAAGACACAGACTCACTGAACCTCTCCACTGCATCAGTCACACGGTCCTGAAACCTCCCGCCCCAAAGCTTCTTCTCCTTAGGGTTTTCAGCTGCCCTAACGCCTCTATCCATTGAAATTGAGTTGCAGAAAACCCTAGAAATTGACTTACAGGAGACCCTAGAAATGGAGTTGCAAAAACCCTTAGACCTCCCCACTACCTTAGGAGGAGAACCCCTCGAAACCAGAGAAGATTCCAATCGATTCAGAGCCTCAACAGAGAAGAGCTGCACGGCCATTAGAGTGAGGCTCTCTTATTTTATAAACGGTAGTGGTACAAGGAAGAAGGGAGCTCAAATCAAAGGCCTTTCGCCATTAGAGAGCAAGCATCTTCGGTAATTTATTACTGCACTTTAAGCATGCATGGTCGCAAAGGACATCATGCCGTAGCTAGAGGCGCGTCCACGAAAAAAAATAGAAAAGCGCGCCTTTCTGAATAACTCCAACAAAGAAAAGCATGAAGTTTCTACGTGGCTTTATAAAAACAAAATAAAGCCTCAACTCAAATTTCATTAGGAAAGCACTGGACATTAAAAAATAATAAAAAATCTCCATGACGGCTCTAATATCAATTTTTAGCATGAAATAAAATTTGAAACTTGATAAATAGTATAAAACTTGAAACTTGAAAAATAGTATAGATCTTTTTGTGAACATTTATTTTTAGAACGAAATGGACGGGTTTAGATGATTTGAAACTCAAAAAATAATATCGATCTTGTGGATCTATGAACAGTTAGTTTTAGAACGAAACTGACGGTCTAGATGATTTGTTGCAAGATACACTATTTTTAGAATTTGAATCCAATTTTTTCTTTAAAGGTTTCCTAACATCTGAATTGTAATTTTTTTATGAGTTATGACTTATGAGGTGAGGCTTTACTTATTTTGATAGGTTTGTCGTCTTATAAAACCATTTTCCAAAAAACAAAAAAGGATGAAGTTTCTATAGCACCTAGGCTTTATGAAAACAAAATATAATATCATCTCAAAATCCTCGTTTGAAAACACTTTTGGCAACAAAAAACAACCGACTTTTTAAGAAAATAAAGCATTTTACTATAAGATGAAGTTTCTATTAAGGCTTAGGATTTATGAAAACAAAATAAAGCCTCACCTCAAATCCTCGTCCGGAAAGTACTTTCGGCAACGGAAATCTCCATGATAGCTCTAAAATCAATTTTCAACACTGACAGAAAAATTAAAACTCAAAAAATAATACATATATTATTGAATTGTGAATACTTATTTTTATGGTGAATAAACGGTCTAAATAATTTGTTACAATGTATACTATTTTTCACAGTCGTAATGTTCAAGCCGAGATGATTGATGTAAAATTATTTTAATAGTTGAATTATAATTTTCGATGAGTTATGAGGTGAGGATTTACATGTTCTGATAGGACAACCGCTCTATCAAACCATTTTGCTTTATTATACTATGAGCGGGTCGATTCATCTAACCACATGTGTCCTTCTAAAATCCATTTCAAATACGGATTTTGAGTTAAAAATTTTAGGGGTTTGATAATCTATACTATGGATAAACGTGAATATAAAAATAATAGTTTTTTAAAATAAAAATAGAACATTTTGATTTATTTTTCTAAACTATTGATTTAGGGATTTTAGTGGGAGTACCACTTTTAGCCATCTTAAAGATGGATGGATGCTAGTTGCGCAAGGGGACGCACATGTAGAAATGTGTCCCCTGCTACACTTTTCTTTTATCATTTAGCTCGAGCCAATTGAATGTATTAAATTATTAAAATATCATTACTTGTTCAAGATTCCCAATCTTTTAAAAAAATTGATTATTTTACTATATTCTTTAAAATTAACCTATAGTGAAATTTTAAAAAGCAACATTCACGTTGTTAAATAGGAAAATTTAACAAGTTTGATTAACATGGGAGAAAATTTTATCATTTCATTGATTTTTTTCCTTAATGTCTTCCCTTAAAAAATGTTTTCTCAAGAAATGGACCTAACAATAAATGATTTGTCAGGAAAATGGTTTCCCTTGTCTGATTTAAATTGTCAAAAAATTCATATAAAAATCATTTTCTTTTGTTTGATAACCTATTTGTGACCATATTTTATTAAAAAATTTGAAAGTCTCATCTTTAAACTTTCATTGAAATAGATCATCAACTAGATTGCAATTTTAATGAATGTTACTTTTTAAAATAGCCCGCGCATAGTAGGACAAAAAAAAATGTGGTAGGTACGCACATAGTAGGACACCAAATGGCATAATTCATATAATAATTTTTTACTTAGTAGTAATATCAAAGATTTAGAATACATTGAGTCTAACTTAATTCAACAAGGTTAAATGGCTGAACCTCAAAGGCCTACTCACCACCCCTCCGAAGCACCATCCTATCATAATAAGCGCACAAGTCGGGTTGTGGTAAGACTGATACTGACGGCGCATAGACTCATGGTGGCCTTCGACTAACTTAATTCAACAAGATTCAATGGCTGAACCTCAAAGGCCTACTCACCACCCCTCCAAAGCACCATCCCATCATAATAAGCGCACAAGTCGGGTTGTGGTAATATTGATACTGACGGCGCATAAACTCATGGCGGCCTTCAACTAACTTAATTCAACAAGGTTAAATGGTTGAACCTCAAATGCCTACTCACCACCCCTTCGAAGCACCATCCCATCATAATAAGCGCACAAGTCAGGTTGTGGTAACACTGATACTGACGGCGCATAGACTCATGGCGGCCTTCGACTAACTTAATTCAACAAGGTTCAATGCCTGAACCTCAAAGGCCTACTCACCACCCCTCTGAAGCACCATCCCATCATAATAAGCGCACAAGTCGAGTTGTAGTAACACTAATACTGACTGCGTATAGACTCATGGCGGCGTTCGATCAGTGTCAACGCAACCAACGACTAACAAGTATGAGAAGTATAGTTTAAAAGCGTAACTAGCGACTGAAATGGATGAGAAGTATGATTTAAAAGACAGGGCAAGAGAGAAGTAAACAAAGAAGAGGAAAATCAAAGAACCAAGGCAAGAGATAAGTGAACAAATAGGAGGAAAGTCAAAAAACCAAGGCTAAACGGTAAAGGGAAGGGTTCCAAACATCTCCACCAAGACATTGTATAAGGCCAAAAGTAAGGAGATCATGCATCCAACAAAAGCAATAACTCTTCAACAGAGCTTAAGAAGTCCATGACTAGATCCATATTGTTTAGGTACTCAGAGGCCACAATAGGGCCCCACACCGCAAATGAAGGGACAACCCATCTTATGTGTTAACTTCCTAGTGGAGATGAAACTCGAGGAAGAGATGGTGGACGAAAATGAAAATGGATCTCGAATGAAAAGGGGGCACATAAACAGAGAGAAGAGATGAAAGGAAAAGAGGAAAAGGATGGGGAGGGGTGTGAGCAACCCCAAACACACCCTTGGGATGCTCTTTCACCCCACAAAACAAATAAGCTGCTAAAAACGATGAAGGAGAGGAAGCTGAGAAACATTACAAGAGGAAGAAAAGAAAGGGAGAGAGAGACGAGCTAACCTAAAGCGAATGAGTTACAAGCAAAGGAGATATAAAAAAGAAACAAAAAACAAAGTAGGAAACAAGCCAAAGAAAGCTGCAGAAAAGCTATATCAAAATGCTCAAAATAAATTAAATAACAACCAAACTAAAAACAAAACTAAAGAATAGAAAATAAAAAAAGAAGTAAGAGGAAGAGAGAGGAAAGAGACAAGAAGAGAGGAAGTCAATGAAAAACAACAAATGAAAGGAAGCCGACAAAGGAAGTTGAGAGAATCTGCAAGAGGAAGAAAAAAAAAAAGAGAGAGACTCAGACTGACCTAAAGAAAAAGTGTTACAAGCAAAGGAGATCTAAAAAATAAACAATTAATAAAAAACACAGTAGGAAACATGTTGGGTTTATGTGGCCTTTAAAGCCCTTATGAGTACTTATAAAATGAAATGATATAGTGGAACATGAACTCAGTGGGAGTGTGATCCCTCGTGGACCATACTAAGCAAACGATGGTTTCCTATTACCAAGCTGTGCTTAACGATCTAGACCAGTCGGTTGGGAAAAACCCATGTTACCTGGGCATGAAGAACAAACCGACGAGGGTTTATGGGTTAGCTCTTGAAGTCTGAGAACATGCCCGAATGAGTGAGTTGAAGGGCTGTGTGATGGTGGCCTACTGAGACGGGGGCCAAAAGCTCATCCATGTTCCATCACACGGCATGCAAATTGATAGATCGTTCGGGAAAGTCAGATATCCACCTTTGGGTGAAGCGTATGCATGTGCGAGAGATACCCTTATGCATCATAGAGCTGTGGTCGCATCAGGTCGTGATAACCTTGACTCGTCTCTAGCGGAGGACCTGTAATCCACAGACTGGGATTGTGACCCATTGATTCATCGATCTGATTTGGGTGACCCGCTAATGAGCCCCTACTTGGACTGTTCGATTCGATAAATCTAGTGTGGTCTGCAGTCCACAGTTGAAGGTGAAGTATCCCGTTATTACAGATTGGATTCCTGAAACCATATGGATCA